GTCGTGAAAAATGAGCTTGGCAAACTGACGGGTGCCAAGAAGCATGCCTTGACAGTGGCCACCATCGAACCGAATGCCACTGACTCCCTCCAAAGGTTCAAGCGTGGGAGGAGGGCATTTGGGAGCAAGATTGAGGATCGTTTCGTTGCTTGCTCAGTGTCTGCCATCTCCAGCGCGCACTGTGGTGCCATGCAGTTTCTTGAGGGAGGGGACACCTATTTCACCAAGTGGCCAGTGAGATTGATCCCTGTTTCGGATCTCAAGCAAATGGACGAACTGGCCTATGAAAAGCTCTATGATTTTCGTTGGCACTTAAGTTGGTGGTAAACAAGTCATGATATTTAAAAAACATCCAGCTAAAGCTCCAACAGACCTGTGCAACTCTTTAATTGTCTTGTCATGCATGGTCATGCATGGTCATGCATCGTCATGGTATGTCATGGTGATAACATTATGTTGACACATGTGTGAGGAGAATGATATGACCCCGGACCGGGACGACTCCGAAGACTGCCATGGGTCAAACGATGCAATGGACTTGAACATGAATGACAAGAACGTGGTTGCCTTTCCGCATGAACACCATTGGACTTTGACGCAGGAGTTCTTGGCGGTCTTCGGCGGCCCGGGCAGTGTCACTTTGATCGACATGACCCCAGGCTCTGGTGCAAAGCTCCTCGGAGTGCTCCTCTCCAATGGCAGGGGAATCGGGGTTGCCCGCACTGCAGCACACTGCAAATGGATGATGGAGAATCTGATTGGATGGACTCGGCAGAAGCGCCTGGTGCCAATTACCCAATTGGTGAAGCCAGACAGCCTGGTGCAGTATGAGAAGCAGAACAAGCCAGCGCCAGCACCCATCCCGAAGAACAGCCCGCAGCCGAAGGCAGTGATGAACACGCCGCAGACCCCGAACCCGTCTCCATCACCGAGCACACCTGCAGTGCCGAAATCAGCTGGTAGCAATGGTGGTGGGCCTTCTCCTCCTGTCAAGCCGACCGGCTTGCTGGAAGCCTTTGGCAAGGTGGCCCAGTCATGATAGAGTCCAGTGAGGACCTTAGTTTTGGCTCAATGTGTGGCTTTCCTGTCAGTAGTTGACGGATCTAGCATCAATAGGAAAGAGATTGGTGAAATGGCAAGACGTGAGCAAAAATAGTCTTGCTGTAGTTTTGCCATGTTTGTCTCTTGTCTCATGCTTCATGATGTGCCATCCATGGGTTGTGACATGTCCATGATTTGGCATGAGGTGACATGTGTTGGCATGAAGTGACATTTGCTGGCATGCTTTGACATGAGTTGGCATGTATGACGTGCCATGCATGGGTTGAGATGTGTCATGGTGTTGGCATGCAGTAACATGTGCTGGCATGCTTTGACATGTGTTGGCATGTATGACGTGCCATGCATGGGTTGAGATGTGTCATGGTGTCATGGTGTCATGGTGTCATGCCCCATGATCACGGTTTTTGAAACTGATTGGGCGCTTTCCTTCGGCTGATGCTTCAGCACATGGCACAGGACCCAAGATATGATGTGATACACCATGGTGGGGAACTACACTGACAACATTTATTTTCTCCATGGGATAACCCTACCCACAAATTCATAGTACATGTAGATCATGTGATAAAATACATCACTTCCAAAAGATGGCCAACCGGCCATTGATTACGCCAACATGGGTTGAGACGTATCAGCGTCCAGACCATCCTCAAGGGCAAGGTCGTGGAGGAATTTCTTGCCCGCATGACCTCATGGAACTTGCGGACCTGAATGACATGTATGTGAAAGACACGGTTTCCAATGGTGACTGTCTTTTTGGTGCTTTTGCAATTTCTGCGTCCAAATTCATAGAGCCAGGACCTTGGAAGACTCATGAAATAAGTCGTCAGAGTATTGAATTCTAACATTGACGGGACTACTGACTTCCTAACTAGTCTGGTCTGTTTTATGTTTTCCCAGGTCATTTCGACGACAGCCATGGTCCCTAGTCAAGAAGGAAAGGAACAAGAACCGAATCATCCGCAAGATAGCTTGTGACTGGGCAGAGGCAAATGCCAACAAACCTCTGTGGGACAACTTCACAGTGGGTGACCTAGCAAGGACTGTGTCAGGGGAATCATATGCCAGGTGAGGGGTTTAAAAGCTGGTGCCACTGTATCGACTGTTTGTAAACATACATGGACTGTTAGGGCTAGATACGTATCCCCTGTCTCGTCCTGCCAGGTGGCTGGAGAGAATGCGACAGGGTGGGACTTGGGGAGACACAGCCATGCTTCATTGTCTTGGCTGCGCTTTTGGCATTGACATTTGTGTTTTGATCCATGGCCAGCCCGACCCTGCTTTTGTTGGAGCTTCCTGTTGTGGCCTTGAGGATGCTGAGTCGCTCTGCATCAATCGCTTAGCTGTCAACATGTCAAGTCATATCATATGCCTGTCATATTTTTTTTGTGAGCATGACGTCATGAATGTCAAGCCATGGAATCATGTGAAACCATGTCAAGCCATGATTGTCAGGTTTTTAATAACGCCAGATCTGTTAAATTTTGAAGTCAGACATGTCTATCCATGAAGCCATGTCAAGCCATGTCAAGCCTAGTACAGCATGCATGTCATGATTCTAAGTCCAGCCATCTCACTATTATTACATGTTTCCTGGATAGCCTGAGGATGATCATGGTTGCTTTGAGCAACGACTACCATTTCTGGGGATTGGAGCGGGATCCTTCCTGCGAAGACGACCAAGAGGGACCAGATCAAGACGTCGCAGAGTATCCATGCACTGACCGCATTGCAGAGATCTGGAATGAAGACTCTGTGTCAAACCAGTTAACTTTAATTCAATGCCTGCAGGAATGGGACCCTTGGGCAGTACCAACGGCAACTTTGATCGAGAACTTCGAGAAGATCTCAAGCGTGGGCCCTTTGGATCCTGGAGCTGCCATGTTTAAAGCCCGGCAGTTTGCATTCTACCAGCTGACACGTGAGCAGCATGCTTATGAGGAGCCTCCTTTCATTATAAGAGACAGTAGGTGTGACCATGTCATGCACAGCATGAGTCCAGTAATCTACATGAACCCAGGAGTTGAGCCGGGAGAAGCGCTACCAGAAAGCAGAGGCTGCTCTGCGGTCTTGTAACTACCTGCTGACCAAGAGCTCCAGGAAGTTTCCTGCCATCGCTCACATGACTCGTTCTGGCTACGCTCGATCTGTCATCAAAGCGAGTCAGTACATATCCCTCCCCATTATCTCCAAAGAGTTGGAGATGCCATGTCACACTGGCCAAGTTAAGCATGAATGCTTGAACATGATGCGATCATGTCCGGCACTCGTCAAAAATTTCAGAGTGCTTTGGGCGTCGCTACCCAGAACACAACGCCTGGAATTCCTGTACAGACTGATGCGAGAGACTTGTCTGATCTCATCTGCTCTCTGATTTTGCATTGGTATCCAATCACAGGGTTACCTTGATATCATGAAAAGCCAAACGACTGGCTTTCAGTGTTTGATATCATTATATAAGGAAGACTCACCAGAGCTTCGTTCTCAATTTTGGAGGAACATCATTTTTCTTTTGAACTCTTGAATCGAATCCTGAAAACTGGCCTCTTAATGGCGCTGTTCCCTTGTAGCACTTGACCAGTGGAAGGGTTTTTTGCAAACATGTGCAGGAGAACAATGGTTTCACCTTCCTGGGAGTGACTGTGTGTCAGCGTGCCTTTCAAATCCTGACTGGGATCCCAGCTGGCACGATTCAACAAGCCAGGGATGCTGCTCGTTCGAATGCAGTCACTGCTTTGACAAAGAAAGAGTTGGGCATGCGGGCCACCATTCGCAATTCTGCCAAAGCTCCTCGCTACTTGGATGCTCGGTCATGGCTCGAAGTCCACGCGGAGAAGTATGCGGAAGCAAATCCCATGACCGGCCAAATGGTGTTGCCGTTTGGACGGAAGTCTGACTACTACCACATGTACTGTTGGGAGCGCTCTCAGGAAGTGCTGAGCCATTTGGATGGGGAGTATGCTTCCCAACAAACATTTCTCCAAGCATGGCGATGTGAACCTCAGTTCTTGTTGGCCCCCTCTTGCTCCACATGCTGTCCATGTCTTTTTGTGTACCTGGTCATGGATACTTCACATGCTGTGGCACCAATGTTTCATGTTCCCCTCATGATCTCCCTGCCCCAGGAATGCTTCCATGTTGTCATTGCCTCACGCACCAGTATGTTTGTGGCCTGCCAAGTGTGCAAGTTCCTGCAGGGCATGATTGCATCCACATCTAGGCAGCATTCTGAAGTGCTTGATGCTCTGAAGCTTCGTCTTGGGAGGCATTATGCTTTCCAAGCAAGCCAGCGCTTGGCTGACGAACGTCTCATGGAGCAGGCACGTCGGTCAGACAATGCCGAGTGGTAGCTCGAATTGAAGTTCAGGCCCAAGAAACAAAACTCAAGCCTTTCTAGTCAACGTTCTTTCTGTCTCTGGTGATTGAATCACCCAAGGCACTTGCAAGTGGACAAGATGGACCAAACAAAGACCAATCTGCCGTGCATCCACAGCCTGTGGCCTTGCCTCATTACATCTGGAATTGTCATTAGCATGGCATGTTTAGCTTTGGTGTCCATCAGTCATGGGACATGTGCATGTTGCCATGGAACATGTGCATGAATGTTGTCATGGAGCAAGTGCATGTTGTCATGGGACATGTGCATGCATGTTGTCATGGAGCATGTTGTCATGGAGCAAGTGCATGTTGTCATGGGACATGTGCATGCATGTTGTCATGGAGCATGTTGTCATGGAGCAAGTGCATGTTTTCATGGGACATGTGCATGCATGTTGTCATGGAGCAAGTGCATGCATGTTGTCATGGAGCAAGTGCATGTTGTCATGGGACATGTGCATGCATGTTGTCATGGAGCAAGTGCATGCATGTTGTCATGGAGCAAGTGCATGTTGCCATGGAACATGTGCATTGGCCATCCCAGGCGTTCAACCCCGCTGATGAAGACCGGGTTCGTGCTCGTCATCGGGCTGGTCGCGACCATTTGGTCAGGAACTCCGGACGACACAGTTGGCCTCACCTCACTGTATGAGGGAGATTCCAAGCACGGGGCCAACATGCAGGGAAGTCTCTTGTTCCAGGCTTTCCACCGGAAAGTCATGGACACCGGCGTGGTGCCGGAAGCTTTGACAATCAGTGCCGATAACACCCCCAAGGACTAGTTGGGGATCTAAAGTTTTCTCCCAGCTTGCTTGGAACAATGGTTCTGTCTTGTTTTGACTCCCACCGCTTTTGGTTGACACTATTATGCCTCTTCCTTCAACCACGGCTGCAGGAAACTAAAAACAGCATTGTCTACTCTGCCTGTGTATGGCTGTTGTGTGCCCTACACCAGACACGGTTTTGGAGGATCCGCACCGTGTACAAGCTTGTTGGGCACACACACAGCCACTGTGACAGGGTCTTCAGTCGCATCAAGGCGTCGCTGATGGGAAAGAGTTACATCAGTGAAGATGACATGAAACAAATCATTGTGTCCACCCTTAAGTCCTACAAAATGGAGTGGGACCACCTGCACGCCTCCCTGGACTTTGAAGCCTTGAAAACTTTGCTGGGATTGGACATTCGCCACCTGAGAAATGTTCACGATCTGGAAATTTTCCGCACCACGGGCGGGGTCTTTGTGCGCTGGAAGCAATATATCAGTGATGAACTGTGGAGCCGTCCCCGACTGGTGGTGGCGCCGGAGAACATTGCGACGGTGGCACAAGCCAGGCCGCCCCATGTGAAGCACAAGTTCACGGATGAAGCGAAGGCAAAGTTCAGTGACTTTTTGTCTAAACTTGAAATCCAGCTGGGCTCGATGAACCTTTTGGATGATCATGTGCGAGCTGGCATGGCTTGGCTGAAGCAGGTGACCCAGTTTGACACTGACTTCACAATGCCAGTTGACAGGATGTTGGGTGACATCATGCATGGCGGAGCACCACGTGGATGTCGCTTGGAGTCTTCCGCGATTGTCCCTGATGACATGCTCCTTCTCAACTGTCCAGGACCTTGTGTGCCACACATGGAGTTGCCATGTCTGCCATGTCTGTTTCACAAACTGGGTATGGGGTGATTATGATGGGGTATGGGTTGGCCAGTGCATGCCATTGATTGCTATGTTTGTTCCAGAAACTTCTGGTATTAATGTTTTATGCCACATGTTGCATGTTTGTCATGCCACTGCCAATGCATGCCATGCAGTATAGTTTTGTTTGCCGCCGTGTTTGTTCCAAGTACATGTGTATCGGTATAGAAGGGTTTCATGTTTGTTGGTCATCTTGCTTTCCCATCCCTTTGAAGGAGCGGACATGCCTGGGATGCCTCTGGAGAGTTTGGTGCGGCTTGGCACCGTGGGAGATTCTGACCCAGCCATGGATGCTTCGTGTTGTGTTGGTGATTTCGTCATCACCTTGAATGACTCGAAGGCGCTCCCCTTTGTCATGGGCCAGGTGGTGGATGTCGATGGTGACTCGGGAATAGTTCAGTGGTGGCACCCGGGAAAATCAAAAGAAGCCAACCTCAAAGCTGGTAGAAAGAAGGCGATCCTGGATTTGTTTGGTGGATGGCAGCCCACAACTGACATTCCTGTTGGCGAACTCGAGCCCTTGCCGCCATCGGTGGTGAGTCCTGCACGAATCAGGATTTGGGGGGGGACCAAATTCCATTCTCCATCCTGGATAAAGTCCAGGGAGAGCTGGATATAGACCTGACTGGATTGAAAATGCCCAGCACACAGCGGGGAGCCTTGTACCGTGCTCACAGGCTCATGCGGACGACGGGATGATGCTGGCCAATTGGAAAAAATTGGCCAGCCCAATTGGCCAGCCCATGCTTGCCACACATGGAGTTTCATGTTTGTCATCCATGGAGTTTGACCATGCTTGCCATGTTAGGGACCGTGGGTATTCATGTTTGTTGGCCATGTTTCCCATGTGTGTCATGTTTGAGTCATGGTTTCGTTTACCACCATGGACTTGCATGCCTGTCATGGGTGTCCCAAATTCATGCAACATTAACACTAGCCCACTGTCCGACCCCACGCAGGAATGCCAAAGAAGAAAGATGGGTCCCCTGATCAGCGAGACTTCAAGAAAGAAGTCAAGAAATTTGTAAAAAACTTGATGGAGGAATCGGACCCCAAAGCTTTATCGCTCCAAGATGTGAGGGAAGCTGTCAAAAAAGAGTTGTTGAAGGGAGAAGAACCCAAAAATGTGGCAATGTTCAATGCCATTGTAGATTCCACCGTTTCACATTTTCACCGCAAGGATAGAGAGGCGGCCAGTACTTCGAAACCGAAAGGAGTTTTGAAACCAATCTTCAAGAAATGAATGGTTGAAAATGAGTTGGGAGCATGACCTGCTTCATGTGGAGCTTGTCATGTCATGGTCACAGATGGGAACATGGCATGATGTGCCATGACCATGGCATGTCCATGTGTGACATGTCATGTCTGAACACGGGATGTCTTGCCATGACCGTGGCATCGTGTCCATGTGTGACATGTCATGGAATTTGCATGAAAGACGTGCCATGCCTGTGTCATCATACATGTCCAAGGGGACATGGGGGGCTTTTGTGCGGGCAGGTCTGGGGGGGGGGCTCAGCATCAAAAAAGTTGTGGCATCAATTTTAACAAATTTCTTCATTGTGTTTGAATGATCCTAATTTGAGGCCAAAAGTCTGGCAGCCAAGATACGTATCCAGAGGAAAGATCATTGGCACCAGTTCCCCGAACTTAGATGAGATGATGATGACGTTTGACTTATTGTGACCTCCGAAAGGTAAACACGGTCCTCCCAGGCCTAGACGCACAGTTTCGAGCTGCCCAGCCGAATGAGCAAACCCAACTCTCCACAATAGTGGACCCCCAGCTTCTAGAAGGCACAACAGTAAATTTTCCACGGTCCCTTGTCCGTCTTGCCTGGATACTACAACATGCAGTCACCCTCCTACCCATGGCAGGTGACATTCAAGCTGTACTGAACTCCCAGACAGCAGGAGTCAGTGATATCCATGCGTGAGGACTTATGCTGCCATCTAGCTCTAGAGTGAGCCCCATCACATACCATTCAGTTGTTGCGGTCAGATACCCGGACCTCTGCCGATGCATCAACAGTGCCTGGGAATTGGGAAGCTTCACTTCAGGCGGAATCCCT